AATGCCACAGTTACAGCTCCTTGGGGCCTCCAGCACCCCAGGTAAGGCTACTGAAGCCAGCATAATTGCTGGCCCCAGCCTCCCCTACCCTATCCAGGGTAAGCTGCCACACACCAGAGTGCATGTGGCACAAATATTCCCCGGGGACAACTAGCAGTCACACAAGATGTGCCGCTGCTACTTGTTCCTGGGGAAACAAACATCTGCTCTCAAGATGCAGCCTGGTTGTAAACTATGAGGCTCTATGCTGGAGAGAGAAGCGGTGGAAAAAACCCTGGTCATACTCAGTTCACTTTTCCTTTCAGCATCCACTCTCTGCCACTGTGGGACACGGAATACTGGGCAAGATGAACCTACGGTTTGACCCAGTAAATGGTAGTCCTTATGTTCTTATAAGTTCCTTTTAAGGATGCCACAGTGTCACTGCCACCACAGTCAAATGAAACTGTCCTGTGAGAGTCTGTGCCCAGGAAGCACCTGTGATAGGAGTGGGTACAGATGAACCTAATCATTACTTTGGAGCAGGCAGGATGGAGCAGGCAAGAGCACCTACTCCTGCCTCAGCCACTTTCTGGTCAGCCCTTCACATATTTCCTGAAAACAGAAGCATGTGGCAGTTCTATAGCTTGCTTGAAAGGAGAGGGTGCTCCTGTTTGCACTAGATTTAGCAGATAAACCTCCTACCACATGTGCTTTCTGGGGTGGCTATATAGGGTGCTGCTAAATTTAGAGACATTATGAAAGGACTTCATGAACCTAAAAAGGCGGAGAATCGCTGGTTTAAATTGTAACACCTTTGACCCAGGGAATGTCTCCTAAAATGAGCTTATACATTGCCTAGAACAATAGGGTCCAGATCTTCGTTAAATTCTCTAACACAGTGGTCACCACTCGGTCTGTCTCGGTCAACTGGTCAATCGTGGAGCCTGTGACAGTTGATCTCAGTTTATCAGGGGCTCCATGATCGGGAGCAGCAGGACGCACGTGGCTGGGCTGAGCCACGTCCCCTGTTGTTCAGGCCAGGCTGGGTGAGTGGGGTCAGAGCCTGAGAGGTGGGGTGGGGGCC